AAGAATGGCGATACTTACTGACGATGCCGGCGAAAAGTTTGGGAATGTACCACGTCCACGGTTCAACTTTTGAAATGATATGGACTCAGGACAAGGTGCGTTTCTATCAGTCTTCCTACCATTATGACCAAGTTGCGAAAACAAGGTCAAAGGACCCCGGACTAGGTGCGTTCCAATAAGTCTTCCTACCAATATGACCATGTTGCGAAAACAAGGTCAAAAAACCTATATACAACGAAAGGAGACTGCGACCACACAAAAGGCCACACCATCCTGCTCTTCATACCTTCGAACGAAAATGAAAGTTACTCAAACAACAAAGAATTAAACCCTGCCATGGGGGCGAAACAGCATAAGTCTTTTAAGGGCCTGATTGCTTGTTTGATTATTTCATCAATACCGTTCATAAACTTAAGGAAACCCTCCTATTTTTCTCTTTCATGCGACCAAATTGCAAAGTAGTCATCCAGGTATCGCATAAAAGCCCTTAGTTGCAGCGGTGACGTCTTGAAATTATCTTCTAATTTGTTCATATATACATTTGCCAGTAGAGGTGAGAGAGGTGATCCCATTGGAATTCCAAATCTCTCATAAATGTTGCCAGTGAATGTGGATTAGATAGTACTTATTGTCAAGTTGATTAGTCGTATTAACCACTCTCTTCTGATACTCTGCTTCTAGGATTTCCTCTTCTTGATCCAAAATTTCTACCAGTGCCGTCAGTGCTTTTTCACCAGAAATGTTTTTTTACATAGATTGTACATCAAAACTAACCAGTAATTCTGTTTCTTCCAGTTTCATGTTTTGGGTCCTCTGGAACAATTCATATGAATGCTTTACTGTCTTTGATAATCACTCGTTTACCATATTGAGTTTCAGATATATTTACTTTGCTTATTTGTGTGTTGCTCCATACTTTTTGTTAACTATCAACCGTTCGTCGTACTGATCAGTAGGTTTCGTCGCCATTCAACTGGGAGCGCTGTCTTTAACCTATGTTGTCTTATAATTTCATATCTAAACGATTTATCGTCGTGTATTTTGGTTACTAAGTCAGAGATCTTACATGCTTTCTTGTTGGCCATGCTCTGGAGTTTGTGAAAATCCTCCACAGTCAGTGTCCTGGCCAGATCACGACTGAGTTTTGACTTAACATCTATAAACTTAAATAGCTTATTCCTTTCCTTGTCATAGGTTTCGTTTAAATTATGCAAGGAAGCCTAGTGAAGAATCTCATTAACCATCTCTGAATGGAAGTGTCTCTTGAATTCATAAAATCCAGGAGTGATACCATAAAGTTTACAACAGTTTTAAAAGGTCAACTGGCATGATTGATTTACAATTGTCTTCTTTGTCCAGCTGTACTCAGTGCATTGTCTGGCAATCCTACTATCGTAGTTTAAACGTATAAACGAAGACAAAAATGTTGTAGCCTCTATTTTTAACGCAGTCTTGTTTCGATGTATAATAATTTTTGACCTGGTTTTCGCAACTTGGTTATATTGGCGAAAAGACCTAGAGGAACGCACCTTGTCCTGAGTATGCATGATAATTTCCACAGTCGGAATGTGGACTTGGCACATTTCGAAACGTTTCACCGGCATCGCTAGTAATCTGTGCCACTTAGCACGATACTACAACTCTTCAAAGGGAATAGTGAAGTCGACCTTTTCACAAATTATGTGCTAAACAGTTGTGGTATCTCTCATTCTGTCCTGGGCTATTCACCTATCCTATATCTTGGTATCACAATTTCTTGTTTATCTAAAGATAATTTGAAACCTATTCACAGTCCCTGCTGGCTTCCACGTCTCTGGTTTAATTCACAATCCTCTCCCTTCGAGTCCTATCAGAGTCTCCTTGCTCCGTAGGCTCCTTTCCTTATCTGCCTGTTAGTGATTTCACCCCATCGTGCTACTCTAGGCCTTATTTTTTACACTCTGCCTCATGCAATTGCTAGCACGTATATAGCAACCTCACTGAGCAAGCCCCTAAAGTTTGGATTCTGAATTAGCATGGCAACCTAACTTGACGTAGCAGATTCCTTATCACTGTGCGGCATTTGCACCTCATGGACCACGCCTATGATATTAATACTTAACTATCAATGGTCACCACCGTTTCTCGTGATCTTCAATCCCTAATGTCGAATTTATGACTTTCTTATGTCCGAGTTTCTTGCGTCCTGACCGCCAAATATGATAGTTCTAATTGATTTAAATAAGCTTACTGTAGACGTATACTTTTTGTTCTTGATTGTTTCTCTCTGGTCACCTTTTAATTTCTTCTAAAATTAAAAATGTTGCTTTTGTCCTGTCTTTTTTGTTGATATTCCTGTTCTCTGATCTCTCCGTTTGCTTAGGCAATATGCAAAGTTTCGCTAATCATGCCTTCTTCAAGTCTCCTGTTCACTAGATTTCTTTCAGTCAGAATATCGATGGCTTCTCTTATCTTGCGTTTTATTTTATTTTCATCATATGCAGCCAGCCTTTTTGTAGATTTCCACTCGATTTCTTGTCTGTCCGTGCGGTGTGTTCCACTATTTCGGACCTTTGATTATTCATTTTTGGTCGTCCACTCGATTCCTGATCTTATTTTCATAAAATCCTAGTTGAAATCTCTTCTTTATGACCCATATATTTTTTTAAAAAATTTTTTGGTGTACCCGTTACTAAGGTTACCCGTGTCGAGTCAATTTCTCCAACTCGTCCCAAATATCAGTGTCCGTTTGTCTTAAGCTTCTGATAATCATACTCCTCATTATTCCGATCTTCAGTCTGTAGTTGTGAGGAGACTGGAAATCGAGAATTATTCCCGCATGGGATTTCTTTCTGAATAGTCTCCTGTTGAGTATTCCGTTGGAGCGAATGACCTCAACATCCAGAAAGGGTAGTCGTTTTTCCTCATCTATTGTGAATTTAATTCTTCCATCTAGTTGGTTTAGAAAATTGAGGAACTCATCCAAATTTTTTTTACTATGTGACCAAAGTGCAAAATAGTCGTCCAGATATCGCATAAGTAATCTTGGTTAAAACGGTAACTTCTCGATTTCCTTCTCCAATTTGTCCATGTATACATTTGCCAAAAGCGGTGAGAGCGAAGATCCCATTGGTAGTCCATATATTTGCTCATAGATATTGCCATTCACTGTAAAATATGTGGCACTTAGTGTCAAGTTGATTAGTCGCGTTAACGACTCCTTCCGTATCCGCTCTGCTTCTAGGATATCCTCCCCTCGTTCCAAGACCTCCAGCAGGGTGCTGACTGCCCTCTCGCCTGAGATGTTTGTGTATATAGATTGTACGTCAAAGCTTACCAATATTTCGGATTATTTGAGAAAATCTATATGAATTCTTTACTGTGTTTAAGAGTCTATCGTTTATTTTCTTAAGCTTCAAGCATATAAATTTCGCTAGTTTGTGTATTGCTCCATGCTTGTTGTTGACTATTAACCTTAGTGATTTTCCTTCCTTGTGTGTCTTCGGTATTCCGTAGGCTGTCGGTTCTCTTGCGTCATTTTGTATTAGCGAATTTATCATCCATCTCTCAATTTCTCCGTTATGTATTTCCTTTAAAATTTCCTTGAGTATTCTGATCCTCATTTTTGCATCCTTTAGTATTTTATAAGTTATCACGTCGCCTAGGTTACTTTCCATTTTATCTGTGTATTGTTGCCTGTCCATTATCACCGTCGCACCTCCCTTATCCACCTGAAGAACTATTTGGTCATTCAATTGTAATTTTATACGTATCTTCATCAATTCATCCCTTTTCATTGGCTCCTGATGGGACAGAATTCTCTGGATTAATTCCATTTTATCTTCAGTTTGATCTCTTCTGGATATTTTTCCCATATATCTTATAAAATCTTCCCTTTGTTACCGAATGTTTCGGAATCAGGAGGGATTGAGGATAATTTCACTACCTTATCCTCATCGTCCTTGGGAGAAGTGGGTGCTTTTAATGCAGGAAAAATTATGATTGGATTGACTGAATCCTGCGCTGTTATATTATCCCATATATAAGCAGTTTCTTGTCATGCCGCTTATCAATTTCCGGAACCTCTGTGAGGCTTAAGCCTCTCAGTCTCGTGATTCCCCTCAAATTTCCAGATGTAAGTGTGATAAAGTATTTCATTAATGATGATCGTCACATTACGAACGAAAGTTCAACCCGTCTTCACCTGAAACATTGAAAAAGTATTCATAAACTGCATTGACCTGAACATCATATTAATGGCAAACGTTCGTAGTACAACACGAATCAGCCAGTGTCTTCTGGTGAGATTGACCCTTGAATCTCTTCATTATCTACTTCCATACGAAATGAAATTCTTCAGAGCGATTAAATTACTGTGATGCATTTTCTCTGTAAATCTGTGTTTTTTGTTTTACTTATCTTTGTTCGAACTGAATTTTTCATTCCCTTTATTTTATTGTTTTATTTTTCAGCTCTCAAATAAATAAATATTTTTTTATCATTTTTTTCCTAGTCTTTACTGGAACATACGTTTAATCAATATTTCTGTGCATAATTATAATTTGTTATCACTTAGTTTTTTGTCTTCTTCTTTCAATCATGATTTGATGTGTTAAGATTATCTTGGCTAATCTTTCATGATTATTCTTATTTTAATCCTAGTTTATTTTATCTGCTATTTCAGACTTGCAATTCATAGTACATAGAGTAAAGTTGTCTGATTTGAGAAAATATATTTTTTTAAATTGATTCGTATTAATAAAATTGTTTATGTTTTTTCTTCTTTGGCATATATTATTTTGGCTTCTTTCTCTGATGGACTCTCGCTTGATGTCAGTCCGCTCCACACTGGCAGCACTCGGAATATATCTGCCTCTTTTCTTGCTAACAATCCGGCGCAACGTCACCGACTAATTGCCTTTGTTCGACGTGAACTACGAGCTCTTGCTCCTTGGTTGGCATACGACACTAGTGCGATCACTCATAATTCAGATCAAGCTGACCATTCATTGAGACGTCTACATTCCGGTCGAAATCGTCCTCATAACTCTTCTTCATCTTCATCCTCATCTTCCTCCTTTACATCCACTCAGAATGGAAGTAGCTCACTCAATGATCCTCTCCATCACTTTTTCTCCGCACCCAGCTCTTCCACATCTAATTCCATCCCGGCCACATCTCCTCCATCCTTCTCACCACTCCTTTTTGGTGCTGGTGGCGGCTTGCATGCTAACACACCTATGCTCGACGATCTCTCAGTTCGCGTTGTCCAACATGTCTCACAAGCATCTTTGACCAATTGGGCTGGTCTTTTTGCCTATCTGCGTAGACAGCCTGGCCTTAATTGGCGTCTTGTGCCACTTGATCGCCTAATGCAATTTTGTGCTGAGTTCGAAGCATTTGCGCGCTCCTCAGCTCCTAGTCTGACAGAGTATGACGCCTCAGTCTCACTGCATCGAGGAATGCCCTTGCCACTTTCCCATTCAGCAGTAGCTCGACGTCCACCACCCGTTTATATCGGCAGTTCAGCAGCTGCTGGAGGCAACAGTCAACAAGCTGGTTTTGCTCCTCCACACCAGCTCGTCGTTGGTCGCATTTCCACTTGGCTGGGCACCCAACTATCTGTTGAAATGTCCCCAAACGGCGGCCATTCTGCTTCGCAGGATCCACTAAATATGGCTGCGGACTTGACTGTTCGTTTGCTCAGGGCTGTCGGCTACCCACATACTTTTCGATCGACTTCTTCAACTACCTCCACCGCCAATCACTTCGAGGTTATAGACCTCGTTGGCGAATCTACAACTGATTTGCATGACTCGCTTACTCGCGGTATGTCCGAATTAGTTGATTATTCTGGCTTTGAAGGGGACATGATTGCGGACTCTACCGCCGCTGGACTATCTCGACTTGTTTCTGGCTCGCGTCACCATCACCATCCAGGCCGTCTTTTGGCGCAGCGTCTTCTAAGTGAATTAATCGATCAGGCCTTATTTGTTGCTGCTCTGACACCCTATTATCAACATAATCATAATACTTGTCACAGCCGGCAGTCTCTTGCTCGAATTGATGCTCCTGGATCTGCTAGACGACCACTTGATCTTACTACTCGCGCCCCAACCGATGTCTCAATTGTTTCTTACGACGACGACGATGATGAAGAAGATGCTGATGAGGATACTCTCATAGGAGAAAACGAG